CTGAAAAATGTTATCTCTGTCCAAACGAATCCCGATGCGTCTCAAGGATTCTGGCTTTTGAAAGCAAAGATAAGACCATAGCCTATAGCTACGCATTCCACTTGCTCATAATAATGTTGAAATGTGTGTGATATTAGCCGCTTTCGATAATTATAGATCTGAATAGAACAATGCAGACGTGGATCTGAATAGAACAATGCAGACGCTCCTAGCTTTGAATGCCAGATTCATATGGATTGTTTCCAATAGTGACGACAGCCAACATTTGACCTCACCTATTCGAATCCCTTTGTTTCACACTGATTGAGGATATTCATCGCATTGAAGTGAGCCCTTAATTTCTCAAACCAGTGCCATCATATTGAGGATTTCAGACCAGGCAGCTATGTCAGATGATAAGATGGAGGTGAAGGAGAGCGACATGGAGGAGGCCGAACAATCGATAGTGATGGGTGTTGTGCGAGAAGCTCAACGATTGTACAACATTGACAAGGTACAATGTTTGTTTGTTTTTACTCAGACAAAGAGACAATCTTTGAGAAGTGCTTGTTCAGGACGTGGCTGCATTCATCAAGGAGGAATTGGACAAGCAATTGGGAGCCACGTGGCATATCATATGCGGGAAGTGTTTCGGCTCTCGAGTTTCTTATGAGATGGGACATTTTCTGTTGTTGAAATGCAATAAGGTGGGCTGTTTTCTTAGGTTCGAGAAAAATTGCTGCATACGAATTGATCTCGCAATTGCTTTGAGTTCGAAAAGTCTTGTGAATTTTCTTGTTCGGTCGGGAGCAAAGCGTTCTACTGGCAACGGAAGCACCCTTACTATCCCCATTGCATAGCAATGGGCATGAATGACCACAACGTACCATGGGGTAAATGACCACAACACCTTATGAATCGAAGCTGTACGAATATGGCTAAACCGTCCGGGGGACCTCCTGAGGCGCATTCATATCTGAATTGCGTGTAAAATTCCCCCGTGTGTAAGATGAGCAGTCCACAACTGCAAAGGTTCTGTCTATTCTGCGAAATGAGGTCGAGCGGAAACAGTGCAGTGGAACAGTGGAGTTTGTTTTTTCAGCGTTTTTTTCTGCATAGTGCCTTACGCCCTCGGCGTTCCTCGCATAGTTGAGGGAGGGAAGAGAACGATCAGCGAATTTTATCTCTTCCCCATCTCCTTCACTCACATAATCGATGAATCCACCTCAGTATCAGCTGTCGAATAAAGAAATCGTTTCCATTCCCAAGGTGAAAAGCTAGTTCAATCAAAACAGCATTGGACTCACACGTCCGTGAAAGATGATAGCACAATGACTGGGAGAGACTGTATGGAGGCTGCTCACCAACCAAGTTCACCTGAACCATCGGACTATCATTTAGTTCGGCTTTCCAAAACCTTTCGTCAAGAAAAACGTGGTCATCAAAAAGAAAACATTGTAGGGCTACGGCCTTTGACTTGTCGTTACTTCGTGATATAGGTTCATGTTGCCAGTTCTGCTGGTTCTTCTAAGGTCAGTAATCGAAGCAACCTAATATTCAGAGGTCGCTGAGTGGCAGCGATTTTCAGGCTCTTTTGTGCATTTAAAATGAGACCTCCTCCGGCTCCTCGAAGTCACAACATATTGCTGGGTTGAGCCGTTGAGCAAACTGTTTTTCCTTGAAAAAGTACTTTGGAAGCATAATATTAGTGGGGAACTTAGTTAGATTTTATTAGGTAAAGATGACTTACCAAAAAGGAGTTAATTTTGAAAAAAAAAACGAACTGTCAATCCGGACAGGGTGGTAGTAATCTATTCGGTAGAAGTAGTTAGGCATGTAGTACTGTTTGATACTGTGTATGTAAATACTCGCAGTTTGGGAGGGGACCAAACATCCTTTTGTAAAGTAATCGAGTCAGGCGTGCATAGCTGGCATCCGTTTCATTAATGGGATACAGAGTGCAGGCTGCTACCTTCACATCCAAAGGCCTACCAAGAACACTTTAAAGTAGTGAAGGGGCGAAATTTTGCCTAATGGTCAGCTGGTTGCTTGCTTGAATCTTTTCCAAATTCACTCGGTTTCGCTGAGTTCCACATGATAGCATCAAAAATAGTTGCCAGAAGGCAAGTAAACAAATTTTGTCGTACTCCCATCAGCTTAGAAGACGTGTACAGCACAAACAAAGAAAAGGTAAAGTTTTTGCAAGCAGCACTATTCAAAAGGGCTAGTCAAACCCTCTCGAACACTGGTGGCGTTTTAGGGCAACTGCTGTTGGTAAACTCGTTGAGCTTATTCTTCTGCATGGGTCTGTTAGGATTTGATCGATTACAAAAGAGTGGTTCTACAAGCTGGTTCTGCTAGCCCAATGTGTTTTGATTCAAAATTCTTATTCAATCAAATCGAGAAAGGCAGCAGTTGATCGCCAATGTGTCCACAGTCTACCAAGGCGAGACTGGCCATCTAACCACAAATTTTGCCGTCAGCGCTCTCCTTCCTGTCTTTGTCATGTGTCTTCACATCAAGCTGAAATCCTCCCATTCATTTTATTTTACATCTCTTCTCTGAGATTTCAGTCTTCCCTTCCATTGAAAATGAGCTTCATCAAAGCGAGGGCTCTGATGACAATGTATCGAGTATATTCCATAGCACTTTTTTACCGCTCTGGATATGTAGATGAAGGGGGTGCGCTTCGTTGCGCGCGTCCGTCGAAACTAGGTCACGCCGCAGCCGTCGCACGCGGAGAGCCAGCGCGCGATACTTGAGAGACGTCGCAGTTGTCAGTGGGGCATACGAATTGCGCTTGACCCACGGCAGTCAGTTCAAAGAGAAGATAACACAGACAGATGCCAATCTTTCGCTCCACTGACACTTGGAGGTACTGTAATGTCATCTCGGGACCTCTGTGTGGTGCGCCGCGCGCGAAGTGGGGGGTGACCCACATTCGACGGACGCGCGCAACGGACCTTCTCCAGATTAAGGAGCACATTAGAGAATGAAGGAAACTGCGTTTCAGAAAACTGCTAACAATTCTGAATCAAGAAAGGGAGTTAAAAAGACTGTACATGGTCCCTGCTGTCTCAAGTATTCAGTTCCCCCATAAATCCGTTTCGATATGTACATTCGAAGTTTCATAGAGACAAAAACCTTCCTCGAGAGAACCTATATAAGCTGATGGACTTTCTTATGAAGTGTCCGGATATAACACGCACTTTTGATAGCTATGTGGGTAACCTCCTGCCTCTCCACTTTCCTCTACATTACTTAATTTGTCATCTTACGGCAGCTACTTCTTGTCTGAGTGTAAACAATACTTCGTTCGAATTCCCTGTAACAATGATCTCTGGAATATGCCTCCCTCTTCGCCTTTTTTGTATTGAAAACCTTTCATGTTTTATCCATTACCGGAAGAAAAGCTTAAAGAAACTAAGCAAAGTGCATTGGTGTAGCCTGGCTGTTGTGATTTCCATCTTACAAAAAGAAA